AGGCTGGAAGCATCGCAATACATGCAGGCTGGCTATAAGGTTCTTTCCCGGAAAGGCTCGGTCGAAAGTGTGATGTTCTTTGTATCCCCACCAGCCAATCCACACACGATCGCCCGGCGAATTGGCTTGGTTCGGTTAGTATGAGGGTATGCAAAAGGACAAAGAGATGAGGCAGACATCAAGCCGAAGCTCGAGATCGGCCTGAGCACGCCGCTGAGGCCCTGGGCTCACGCACAGTACAAAAGTTTCTGCATTGAATACTTTCTTTGGGACACTTAGCGGCCCCTTTGGGCAATGTTGGAGGACATCGATCAAAAAGGGACTGGCGCCTGTTGGCGCCGCCCCTCAGGAGCATGACGCATCGCCTCTCGTAGCCCCCGCGGGATGGTATTGGAGCGCTCTTGGAGCCGCCCAGTGCCCCTTCGGGAGCCCCTCCCGAAGCTCTCGTAGGCGGCATTGGAACCATCTTGAGCCCCAGAGACCCCATCGGAGGCGAAGAGGTGAGATGCCAGCCATCATTGGATAGTTGATCGTCCCGGGTGGCACTTGCCTCTCGGTGGCAATTCTGCGGGAGGCCCCAAGTCCAGTTGGAGCCGTCTTGCGGCATAGCTCCTACCTCCTCCTCCTCCCCCCTCCTCCTCCGCCTCCTCTCCCTCCTCCTCTTCCTCCTGCTCCTCCTCCTCATCCTCCTCCTCCCCCCTCCTCCTCCTTCTCCTTCTCCTTCTCCTCCTCCTCCTCCTCCTCCTCCTCCTCCTCCTCCTCCTCCTCCTCCTCCTCCTCCTCCTTGAGCCGCCTAAAGCAACGTTATAGCCGGCTCGGGCCAAAAGGGACCCTATGGGCACCTCGCAGGCGGGGGCGTCCAGAGCCTGGAGGGGGGGAGGGAGAGGGGCAAGCACCCCCAGCGGGGAAGGGAGGGCTTTGAGCAGGAGGCACGCTGGACCACATACGACCAGAGGAACGCTGCAACGTCGGGGCAGCTCCTGGGCATTAGAAGAGATCAGCCATTCGGAAACGCAAATCAAAGTTCAGCAGGTGTGGTAGGGTGACACACTCCCGCCGCGAAAGGAGTACATCTCATCGAGTGGCTGCTCCGTTGCCAGAAAGCCCGGGGTGGAAACGCGGAAATGCCAACCACGTTGTTTTTGCGGGGTGAAAGATGCCCGCCACGAAAACTAGAATGCGCATGTAGCCTGGGGAGGAGGAGGGGGAGGAGGAAGCGCAGGACGACGATTGGCAGTTTTGGGGCCCAGGAGCTCCCAAGAGGCAAGCCGTCACCCGAAGTGCGAACGTATATAGTCAATGGTATGTATACAGTTCAGTATTAGAAAACGGGGGCCACAAGTGCGGCCACAAGGGCAGCGGATTTACGTGTGTGTTTTTTTATGGAGGGCCCCTCGCGGCAGATTGTACGTATCTTTCAAGTCAGACTTCTCCAATGTTGCCACGCAGTGGAAGGTGTATGTCCCCCTTCGGAGAAAGATGTCACTCGCGTTTTCCATCCTCTTCTTCGTCATCCTCCTCGTCCTCCCTCTCCTCCTGCACCTCCCTCCCCCTTTCCCTCATCCCTCCCTCGCACCCTCGCCCGCTCGCCCCCTCACTGGAGAGGGAGGGGGCAGAAGGGGGTGGAGAGTGAATGGGGGAGGGGGCGAAGGGAGGCAGGGGAGGGGCCAGGAGGAAAGGGGTGATAACGGATGGGTCGGGGAAGGGAGGGGAGAGGTGGGCAGGCGATGGGAGGGGAAGGGGGGACGCGAAGTGTGGATCTTGTCCACCACCATCCCCGATAGGAGTTGCTGGCCCTCGACCAACAAGGCTCCGACAGAGACCTGGGATCGTTCGTTTTGAGGGCCCCTCAAAACGAACACTCCCAAGCCCGTTTTGGGGCCCTCCTGGGGCCGTCTTGGGCCATCTTGGGGCCCTCTGGGGGCCTTAATGTTGTCTTGCGGCCTTCCCAGGGCCCGCGGCCTGGAAGGGTTCCCAGAGGGCCCTAAGAGGGCCCCAAGAAGGCCCCGAGAGGGGACTGGGAGTGTTCGTTTTGAGGGCCCCTCAAACCGAACACTCCCAAGCCCGTCTTGGGGCCCTCTTGGAGCCGTCTTGGGCCCATCTTGGGGCCCTTTGGGGGCCCTCAAGGGTGTCTCGTGGCCTTCCCAGGCCCTAGGACTCTTCCAGAACTGTTTGGGGGAGCTCCAAGAGGCCCCCAAGAAGGCTCCGAGAGGGGCCGGAGAGTGTTGTTTTGAGGGCGCTAAAACCGAACATTCCCAAGCCCGTCTTGGGGCCCTCTTGGAGCCGTTTTGGGGCCATCTTGGGGCCCTCTGGGGGGCCCTCAAGGGCATTCTTGTGGCCCTCCCAGGGCACTCGGACCCTTCGGAACGGTTTGAGAGGGCTCCAAGAGGGCCCTGACAGGGCCGCAAGAAGGCTCCGAGAGGGGCCTGGGATCGTTCGTTTTGAGGGCCCGTCCAAACGAACACTCCCAAGCCCGTTTGGGGACCCTCTTGGAGCCGTCTTGGGCCCATCTTGGGGCCCTCTGGGGGCCTTCATGTTGTCTTGTGGCTTTCCCAGGGCCCTCGGACTCTTCCAGATCGGCCTGGAACGGCGGCTTCCCAAAGCCCGCGGGGGGCGTCCGGCTTTGTGGCCCTGTTGGCAGCTTCCTTGCAGCGCGGGGCCGGTGGCCCGGCGGTTTTGCCACGCCATTTGCAACGCGCGCTGCGTGGTAGGGATTGGCCGCCAGTGGCCGGACTTCGAATTCTGGGGCCTCCGAGGTGGCTACAATCCCTGGCCACAACCCCTTCCACAACCCTCGCCACGACCCGTCCCCGAACCATGCATGTCGGCACTTTTGGTGCTCTTGTTCGGGTCGTTCTGGGTTTGGGCTCTTCGCTGGGAGAGAGGGTTACGGGCCAGGATCCGAAGATCCAAGCACGCCTGAGGTGAAGGTTAGCTCCAATCCGGAAGGTGAGACAAGGGGCACCCACTGACATGTGTAACAAGAGTGTAAAGCATGTGCACAACGTGGTAATCCAAGCGTAAACCAATGTAAACCTGCCTGGTGTAAGCCATTGTAAACCAGGTGTAAACCAGTATAAACCGAGCGTAAGCCAGGGTTAACCATGTGTAAACCAGTGTAGAGCGGGTGTAAACCAGTGTAAACCAAGTGTAAAACAGTATAGACCGTTGTAAACCAGTGTGAACTCTGTGTAAGCCCGTGTAAACCGGGTGTAAACCAGTGCAAGCCGGGTGTAAACCATTTTAAATCGGTAAAACCATTGTAAGCCAGGTGTAAACCAGTGTCAACCATATGTAAAAGACGTATAAGACAATGGTAACACCGCTGCACATCATGCGGAACACAGCTGGGACACTCCTCAGGGCCCCAGAGTCGCCCAAGACAGCCCAACAGAGCCCCAAGACGGCCCCAAGATGCGCCCAAGAGTGGGACCACGACTCCAAAATTCGACCCTCCCGCTTGAAGAGTGCCCCAGGAGGCCCCAAGGAGCCCCCAAGAGGCACCAGCAGGCCCCCAAGAGGCACCCAGGAGGCCCAAACGAGGCCTGAAGAGGCCACAAAACAGCCCCGAGGAGGCCCCACAACGGTCCCAAAACGGCGACCGAGAAGCTGCGAAACTGCCTTCACGACGTCCCTGACAGGCCAACCACGAGATCCAAACCAACACCCATGAGGCCTCTGACCCACCACCCAGGGCACTGTGGCGGGAGCAGTGACAGCACTTGTGCACAGCATGTTCCGGCGGGAGTCTTCCTGAACACGCTGCAGGAGGAGGAGGAAGATCAGGAGGAGAGAGCTGGAGTGGGAGGAGAAGGAGGGGGACGAGGAGGAGGAAGAGGCCTCCAAGACAGCTCCAAGATAGCCGAAGAGGCTTCCAAGAGGGCCCTGGGCTGCCCACGAGGGCCCCAAGGCGGTGCCTGAGGCGCCCAAGAAGGCCCGAGAGGGCCCCCAGACGGCCCCAAGAGAGGCCCAAGAAGGGAAACACGAACTGGGAATCCGAGCTCTCTACCCCGAGAGGTTCTCGGGAAGTCCCAAGAGGCCCCCAATCGGATCCAAGAGGCCCCCAAGAAGCTCCCAAGAGGGCCGACGAGATTCCAAGAGATCTCCCAAGGTGGCCCCAAGAGGCACGACTCATCGTTTTACGATTGGGCTTTGACGGGTTTATTTTTGTTCGGCCTGTTGGCATCCCGATGCTCCAAGACGGCCCAAGAGGCTTCCAATGCCGCTCCAATATAGAGGAAGAGGCCTCCAAGAGGGCCCCAAAACGGCCCGCGAGGGCCCCGAGACGGTGCTTGAGGCGCCCAAGACGGCCCGAGAGGGCCCCAAGAGCCCCAAGAGAGGCCCAAGAAGGGGAACGCGACCCAACAGCAGAGCGTTCCCCCCAAAAGGCCCACAGGAGGCCGCAAGAGGACCCCAAAAGCTTCCCGAGGGCCTCAAAGGCTTCAAGGAGACGTCCAAGAGGTTTTAATAGCCCAAGAGTGCCCTCGATGCGTCAAAACTGCTTCCAGGAGGCCCCCAGGAGGCTTCCGGATTGCCTCAATCCGGCCGCAGGTGGCCTCAAATCGGGCCCCCACGCAGCCAAGACGGCCAATGGCGGTTTCAGATTGCAGAACTGATGCCGCCAAGGGACCCTCAGACGCCCCCCCCAAGAGGCTCCCACGAGGCGCCTCCAACAGCCAGTTGACGAAGCATGCGGAACACCCCAGAAGTTCCTCAGATGCCGTCGCGCGCCGGTGCTTGATGGCGTTGTCCAAGATTGTCCAGCGCCCCCCCGGCCTGGGCTAGAACCTTAGCGCGCGCGAAGCGCGCGCGATGGTTCTAGTATATATATATATATAGATATATATATATAGAGAGAGAGATATATATATATATAGAGAGAGAGAGAGAGAAAGAAATGTTGGATTTGCGAGTTGTGCGCATATATGCATGTAACAAATTTGCATTCGGGTGTGATCCACTTAGCCGAATGTCACCGAACTGAAATGCCAGCCTTTCAGGCGAAGGAGGTATCGGATCATCGTGACGCCTGTAGATTCCAAAGTATTGGTGGAGTGCGGGCAGTACGAGGACCTCGGGGTAGCTCTGCCGCTGTTGCGAGTCTTTGCTGCATTCGCTTGAAAGTGTGTTTGACCGCGTAGCGCGCATTATGGGTCATGCGTACGTGTGCGCATTCGTTTCCCTCGTCTGGATCTGCCTTGATGTCTGCCATCCCGCTCGCTGGCTTGTTTGCTTACCAGACGACTCGTTTGTCTGCCCGTCTGGAAGCATTCTGCCGTCTGGAAGCACTGGGTGGTTTGGCATGGTGCTTACCACAGCCCACCCGTGCGCCTGCCTTCTGGGCTGCGTCTGTTTGCATGCCCCTCCTTCGTCTGTCCAAGTGCATCTGCGTTACAGTATGGCGTCGTATGTGGTTGGGTTGCAGTGACTTGCCAGTGCGTCACCATTACACGCCATTGGCTCATTCTGTCAGATCCCCGTGCTCCAGCATTCCAATGGTCAGCAGGTTTTAGTCTCATTCGCGTTGTAGTGATATGCCAGTTCACCTGCGCAGTGTCATAGATTGTCTGGACGTGTGCCGTCCTGACATTCCGCGCACCCATCTTAGCGCAGAGCCACCGAAAACTACATGGTGCGACATGGATTGCGATACGAAGGGGCCGAAAAGCACATGGCAAGCATCGACAGCTTGATCAACCATTATCGAGGGAAGTACTGCCTGCTCTGATGGGATGGGGAAACCTGGGGCCGTGTCTACGGTTGGCCAGCCCATGTGGCGCGGTCCAATTGATTCATCAGGCACATACGAAGTACAAGCAGCATTGACCACAGTTGGTTCACAACGCCATGGAAAACGCTCCAATGCATGAAGTTTGATAGGCGAGCGGACGGATGGATGGCCGTATGGCGTTCGTGAGCGGGAGACGCAAGTTTGGCAAAGCCTTACAGCTGTGAAATTATCGTGTCGCACTAGGGTTCGCGCATCCGCGCGGTACGCGCCTCGATAGGATGCGCCAGACAACAAGTGTGTCAGTCTCGTTCCGTGGGTGCTGGCATAGCATGGCATAGTTGTTGTCTGCAAGCCTAGCAGTGGCCGCGGTGCTGTTGCGCTGGTGTCGAGACCCGGTTTTTGTGCCGCCGATCCCGGGCGCTCGCCTGAGGTGGGCAGAGAAGGGAAGCGGGAGGACGGAGGCGAGAGGAGGAGGAGGAGGAGGAGGAGGAGGATCACCATGAGGACGGTGCGGATGAGCATAAGAAGGGGTAGGAGGAGGACGGCGCGGAAGGGGAGGAGAGACAGGAAAAGGAGGAAGGAGGGAGAAGGAGGGCTGGCAGCCGTACTAGAATGCAGTGGAGGAGGGAGGAGAGGAAACGGGAGGAGCGTGGATGGAGAAGTGAGGAAACGAAATACACGAATATTGACTTCTCGAAGGCGCCCACGGCGAACCACTGCCGCCACCTGCCTTTCGGAAGCGCCTTTGTAGCCAAACGCTGGACCAGAAAAGAAGCCATTCGGAGAGCACTTGGGGGAAGGAGAGGGGGACGGTCGGGAGAGGGAGGAGGATGAGGAGGAGAGGGAGACGGAGGAGGAGGAGGAGGAGGAGGAGGAGGCCCCGTGGGAGCCTCTTGGATCGTCCTGGAGCCTCTCGGCGGCCTGTCGGGTCATATGGAACCGTGTTGAATCCTTCTTGAGTCGTCTTGGGGCCATCTTGGCCGTCATGGAGCGCATCCTGAGCCGTCTTGGAGGCATCATCTCCTTCATCGTTTCCTTCTCCCTCCCCCTCCAATCCCCCATCCCGCCATCACATTTTATCGTCTCCAATCGTATCGGGAGCTCCCGTGGCAGAAGAGCACCCAGAACGAGGTCCTCCGTGACAGAGGGGGGGCATCTTAGACCCCCTCTGTGACAGAGGGGGGGCATCTTAGACCCCCTCTGTGACAGAGGGGGGGCCAAAAAACAAATGATCACTTTAATGCGGCTTCTGGATTAGGCCCAGCCGTGCTGTCTTGGACGCCAGATTGGCCGTCTCAGAGTCAAAAGTGGGACATGTTAGCCGTCGCGGAGGCCATCTTGAAACGCACTGGGCCTGTCGTGGGGCCCTCTCTTGGGGGGCCTCTTTGGTAATATTGGAGGCCGCTGGGGCTGTCTGAGGTTGCCGGATGCCTGGAATGGCCAGAACGATAAAAACATGAATCATATTGGCGAAGGACCCAACCATTTGTAGGCGTGAGTACCGCAAAGCAGGTGGGACAAAGGTGGGGTCACGAAACGTGTGAGGGGTATGTCAAAATGGGCGGGGTGGCGAGATGCGAAAGAGCGTGTTGTACCGCTGCTGGAGGAAAACCGGGGGGGGTCACTACCGGTTCGAACCCCCCTTCCCCTCCCCCTCTGGAAAATTGGGGGGGTCACTACCGGTTCGAACCCCTCCCCCCCCCCCCAGTCCATCATGAAAAGGAGGGGGGGTCACTACCGGTTCGAACCCCCCCCCTCGAAAACCGGGTGGGGTCACTACCGGTTCGAACCGCCCCCCCCCCTTCGAAAACCGGGGGGGTTGCGGACAGTGGTGGGGACGGTGGTGGTGGGGACAGTAGTGAGGGGACAGCGGGATATTGGTGGGGACAGTGGGATAGTGGTAGGGACGGTAGTGGTGGGGACAGTGGTGAGGACAATGGTGGGAACAATGGGGACAGTGGGACAGTGGTGGGGACGGCGGTGGTGAGGACAGTGGTGTGGGGACAGTGGAAATGTGGTGGAAACAGTGGGACAGTGGTGGGTACAGTGGTGGTGGGGACAGTGGTGAAGGCGGTGACGAGGACGGCGGTGGGACAATGGGACAGAGGTACAGTGGGGACAGTGGTGGGGACAGTGGTGGGAACAGTGGGACAGCTCAGTGGGACAGCGGAGGGGTCAGTGGGACAGTGGGGACAGCGGGGATAGTCGGGCAGTGGTTGGGGCCGTGGAGAAAGTGGGGAGAGTGGAACCGTGGTGGGAACAGTGGTGGGGACAGCGGGGACAGTGCGACAGTGGTGGGGGCACTGGTGCGGACAGTAGGGACGGTGGTGGAGCCAGCGGGGACAGTGGTCGTGAGGACAGTGGTGCTGGGAACAACCAGTGGGGGATGTGGTGCGGACGGTGGTAGGGACCGGGAGTCGTTTGCTGGCGGTGAGGGGGGGGGAGGGGTTCGAACCAGTAGTCAAAGCCCAAAGGCACTTCCTCCCAGGCCGAAGACAGATCAACCTATTGATATATCTCCATATTCGGATTTGTCGAGTCAGTCTCAGTCATTCGGACCTGATCAGCTTGCGTCACCGCCTAAACAGAAGAAGAGGAAAAGCCCAGATGACCCCAATCCTGGAGACGGCAAGCAACAGCGACATGCGGGGCAACTTGCTGATCGACGTCGATCCATAGGACCAGCAACGGCCGCCGCAGCAACTGCATCTCAAGGCGCCAGCACTCCTACTCCGAAGGACCCTGCACCACGTCTCGGCCCCACACCTGGCCGGACACACAGCCGGCACTGGAGGGATCATCGAGGGATGCTTCTTCATCACGGCACGGTGCCAAGCAGAGGCCATTGGAAACTACATCCAAGGCATCAGTTCCCAATGACAAGAAGTGCGAGTACTACAACATCAGCGAGAAGAAACGTCCGGATTTCGACATCAGTACCCCTCCAAGGACCCCATCGGACGCCCAGAGGATCCGCGGGCGCCGCCTCGTCATCGGCAGGCGCTTGCGCACCTGCAGCATCGGCAGCAGCCAAGTCCGCAGGACGGACTGATGAGCAAGATCAGAGTTCCGCGGGGCAACCTGCTCTTACTATTGAAATGCCCGTTGACTGCCGACAGTATTGGGAATGTATACGCACCACCAGGCGCACGAAGATCAACCCAGCATATCACCCCGGTATTGAGGACGGGTATGATCGATACATCGTGGTAAAGTGCGACATCAAGGACACTGCCGTCATTGCCGATCAGGACGCTCACACGCGCCAGGTTGCACGTAATATCCTGCGTAGGCGCTCGGCGCTCACGTATCTGTCCGAGAAAAGCTACTTGACGGGGATCCTCAAGGCAGACAGAGCTGTTGGTCCAGATTTGGCCTATGAGGAGCAGCGCCGCTGCTTGCCACTGCTATTCGTCACGAACCATTTCACAACAACTACCTGTCTGGTAGGTTTCTGAGAGCAGAACCGTCTTTCGACGAATTCGATGGATGGGTGGAGCTCTCGGAGCTGCTTAACAAGTGGCCACCTGAGGGATGTGATCGCTCCACCCCAAACACCTGGAGACTGCCCGGCGTTGCCCCAGCAACCGCCACCGGGCATATCACGCACTAACTGTGCCGAGCTTGACCAGCATGGTCGGCAACTGGCATGCAGAAAAAAACAGGTTCCAGGTCAGGAAGTGCAAGATCGCGACCGAGATGTACGATACATACTTCATACGCCCAAGTAATCACTCCATATGAGGATAACGGATCTGACCATTCCAGGTGCACCCTGTTATTCCATGCACGGTACCAAATGGGAAAATATCCGGAATATACTTCGCCTAGGACTGCCATGCCTTGCCGACGACACCACCAAGAGAAAAGACAGACAGTTTGCTCATGCTTGCCCATATTTACCTGGTGACAAGAGAATCCAGTCCGGCCTGCGCGTCGACTCCGATGTATTAATTATGGTTAGTCTGACAAAATCTTTTTCGTGATAATATGGCTATTTGGCGCTCAGCAAATGATATGTTTTTGCCGGCAGGCCCGAACGGCAGAATTCTTCCGACTCACATCGCCCAGTTCATAGGCATTCGGCCCAACGAGAAGTGCAGGTAGAATCGCGCGGGACACGCATGGACCAATCCCTTGCACTTGTGGGGCAACGCGCAGAAATATCTGAACAGTGATCTTACCCTCGACGAGGTGAACGAATTTCAAAAATGATGCCTCAGCGTTGAAGGATTGGTTTATTCGGAAAACCCATTTACAATTTGAAGTGCCCCGAACCGACGCCTATCCAGGAGGTCGAGTTCTCTGCGGCATCTACGACGCAAGAAGGGCACCAAGC